TGTGTGTGTGTGCGCGTTGTGAAACCTGCATCGGAGTATGTACGTTGGGGTTAACAGATCAGACTCCTCAGATAATAGACCTCGTCCGGCTTGAACAAACACGCTGGTTAAGAGGTGAGGAGGTTTACAGCGGCGTGATAACAAGGACGGGACGGACGACTTGCACACACACACACACACACACACACACACACATGCATCCACAACCTGCGCTTTATGAATGTGTGCACAAACTCTAAAGTGGGGTTGAAGCGGCTTTGAGGGGTTGAACGAGCAGGTTGGAAGGTGGCCTCTGTTTGCATAACCGAGACGTTTTGATGAAATGTGTAACAACGCGGTTCTTTTTCTCAGCAACTGATGTGCCCTTGAGCAAAGGCTCTGAACGGGTCACTGATTGATGATCAACAGCGAAGAATAGACGTGGAAAAGCAAGTAATGAGAAAGGGGGTAAATACCAATCCCAGTAGCTTTAAAGGGGGGTGTCAATGCCAACTGAGCCCTCCATTGGATACCCATCACGAAGCTTTGTGTGCACCTCCGGTGAGCTAATTGCATAGAGCAGAGGTTACTGCTGATGGCGGAGCTTAACCCACCCGCAAGTGCCCCTCTGCCCCCCCCCCAGGTCAGAAATGTCAGCTCTTTTAGCTGCTTACTCTCAGCCGGCTGATGGCTGAGAGTAAGATCTGAGCACAAAGAGGATCGGTTGCGGGTATCCTTTCACTGAAGAAGTTTCACTAGTATTTGCGTCCTGACTTATTTCAGTTCGGTTGCAACAGCGTTAGCAATATTCAGAGCGATACTGGGCATCCATCCATCGTCAAACCGCTTATCCTGCACGCAGGGTTGCGGGGGGGCTGGAGTCCATCCCAGCCATCTTCGGACGATAGACGGGGTTCACCCTGGACTGGTTGCCAGCCAATCACAGGGCTACACAGGGACACACAACCATTCACACCTACGGGCAATTTAGAGTCCCCAATCAACCTGATCCCCAGAGCATGTCTTTGGACTGTGGGAGGAAGCCGGAGAACCCGGAGAGAACCCACGGGGAGAACATGCAGACTCCACACAGAAAGGCCACTGGGTGGAGTCGAACCCAGGACCTTCTTGCTGTGAGGCGACGGTGCTGACCACCACGCCACCGTGCCGCCCTGGATACTGGCCAGGACAAGAAAATACTTTATTACCCACTTTATTGAAGGCGCCGACTTATTTCCAAGATGTCTTCTCGTTCTTTCCTAGCTTCTACGATGAGATAGGAACTCCTCTGCTGTCCGACATACGGATCAACTACACCGAGGACTCCGTCCACTACGTCACCCAGCACCTCTTCCCCAACTACTTCAACGGCTCCGAGATCGTCATCGCCGGCAAGCTGTCCAACAGCAGCGCCGAATCGCTCCGCGTCCAGGTGACCGCCAGCAGCAGCGACAGGAGCGTTGTCCTGGAGGCCGACGTCCCGCTGCGCCGCCGGCAAACGGAGACCGAGAAGCACGTGAAGGCGGCGACGATGGCGACCGGAGCCCAGGCCGCGGGGTCGGGGGTCGCATGGGGCCTGGGGGTCATCTTGGGGTCAATAGCGGAAGACTTTGTGGAGCGCCTGTGGGGTTTCCTGAGCGTCAAGGACGGGCTACGCTCGCGGCTACGCAGCCAAACGAGTGCGGAGAGGGAAGGCCACTTGCGTCGGGTCGCCAATCTGTCACTGACCTACAACTTCCTCACCCCGCTCACCCACCTGGTGGTGGAGAGGCCCGAGGCCCTGGCCGACGGCACCGTGGCGCCGACACCCGCCTCCCCCCTGTCGACGGGCGGGGCCGCGTCGACCGCCAACGAGCTGCCGGGCGACGCGGAGGAAGGAAAGCCTCCGAAGTCCAACGGGGAGCCGGGCAGCCAGACCTCCTCCCTGAGCAACAAGATTGGTGAGGTCGTGTCTACTGGATTTGGTGGTTGAGGGCCGGTGTTCGACATGTGAACAGCTAAATTGTCTAAATAAACAATTTCCTTTAATCGGTAGCAAGGTTAGCGGTTTACCGCTACGTACGTCGCTAAAGTTTTACCAGGTTGCGGCAAAAAAAAAGACAGATAAAAGGGAGATCAAAGAGGTTTTTCTTTAAAAGGACGTCCTTAAGAAGTCCTTCTAACTAAAGGCTCCAGATTAGAAGGACCACAGATCAATGTTACTCACAGGGATGATTTTAAGTCATTGCAGTCAATATAAATATTCTCTTCCTTGCAGGTAAAGTTGGGAGAAGACCGGCCAAGAAATCCATCACCTTCTCCAAGACATCAGGTGACTTCTCTCTTTCTGAAGTAAACAGTTGAACGGGCTCGTTTCGTCCGAAGCCCACCTGTGCGGTGGTTGCGACTTGAAAGAGGCAAGCGGGGGAATGTACAGCACACACTCTCTCTCTCTCTGCGCTCGCTGTGTGGGCGGCCTGTAATTTGGGTGTTCGCCAGCCAGTCTGAGGGATCCCTCTGAACGCGACCTGAGAAGAAACCGCCGGGGTCTAATTGAAATGCCGACGCAGGCAGCACTTTGAAAAACACAGCGAGCGCCCGCGCCGCGGGAAGAGAGGGGAGCCCTTCAGAGGCCGTTAGCCGGGACTAATGACCCCGTCATTACTGCGCCTTCCCCCTTCATCTCCGCCAGGTTCTCACGAGCCAGCGGAGACGCCAGGTACGAACCGTCTCGTGGAATCAAACCCCGAGACGGACGCGGATCTGAGAAACGCCGACAGGCCCTAATCAGACGACGCCTTTATGTTTAAAGGTTTCACAAAAAAGTTTTAATTTTTCAATCCGTGGAAATCGCTTTCTTTGGGAGATAGTCAAAGGCTTCACGTTTTCTGGGTATTTTAGATTAGAAAGTGGCTATTTTAACTGATTTACCCAGCAGGTCACCTCATTGTATGCTATTTTTGACGATAACAGTCTAATTAAGTTAGAGTAAGCCAATCAATGTTATCGATGTAATGTATTTGTCATTATAAAACGTACTACATTTCCATAAGCGATACCAATGAGATGATAGTGATATCAGAACCAGATAAATAATGAGTCTCACAGTCATTTAATAAATAAAACTTCTCCTTCCTGATTCACATAACGTGCACCTGACGCTCTAAAACCACTTTAAAGCTGCAGTTTGATTGTGTTGGTTTATTTGTTCTCTCTCCAAACGCTTAACGGGCCCCAGCGGACGGGGACCCCCACTTCGTGGTGGACTTCCCGCTCAGTAAACTCACCGTGTGCTTCAACATCAACGGCGAGCCGGGACACATCCTGCGCCTGGTGTCCGACCACCAGCGCTCCGGTAAGACTCCTCGAGGACGCGCCGTTTTTTGAAACCTCAAGAGCCACGTTGGCCCTTTCAGCTTGGCTCACTGCCGCCCCCCCCCCGCGTGTCTCCAGGCGTGACGGTGAACGGGAGGCTGATCGGCGCGCCGCCTCCGCCGGGCAGCCGCAAGCTGCAGCGCACCTACTTCAGCACCGTCACCATCGTGGTGGACCGGCCCAGGCGCGCCTACATCGAGGTGACCCCCAAGAAGGTCATCCTGGACGGGCGGGACCGCATGGTGCTGCCCTGCCACGCCACGGTGGCCGTGGACAGCGGCGCCCTGTCGGTGGCCGTGGCGGGGGGGTCCAACGTGACCGTGACGGTCGGGGGCAACATCGTGTTCGTGATCCTGCTGCATCAGTACAAGAACCCGGCGCCCTACCAGAGGGACCACCTGGGGTTCTACATCGGCGACAGCAAGGGGCTGTCGGCCGACTGCCACGGGCTGCTGGGTGGGTGCTGACGGGGGCTCCGAGGATGGATCACATCCAAACTGGGAATATTATTGCCAATATTAGTATCTTGAATTCAGTCACAATGTGCAGTGTGACTTAATTTACCTCACTTGTACATTAAAGACAAACCTAAAGCTTCACTTAAGGCCCCGAAAACCAAAAATATACATCAGACAATATTACGCAGCAATTCTGAAACCAACACTTTTGGGGTGTTTGGTACCATGCTGGTAGAAAAATAGTAAATACGTGTAATAAAACTTATTCATATTCAAATGTGCAGCCAGACAGAGTTCCCTGGGAATTTAAAATAAATGGTTTCGTCCCTACTGGGGCATGAAGTTTAAATCCGGTATTTCTTTTAGCCAGGGTGGTGCTGGAGATGATGTGACAGGTCGTCATAGAAACAGGCGATTATCCTCTGGGGATCACGAATATTCACAGTGAATTCCAGTTCCAAGAGGCCTTTCTGGGGAGAGTTTGAGTGTCCGATGTGTGTTTTAGATCACAACATCCTGCATTTGGAGCAAACCGATTACATTCTGAGAATTAAAAGGATAAATTCACTGGGACCATAACTCTCCGTCCCCCCTGTGCGCCTTTCAGGTCAGTTCCTGCACGAGGACGTGGGCCTGGCGCGGCTGCCGGCTGCGGGGCGCGAGCAGGCGGCCGCCGTGCTGAAGGTGAAGCGGCGCTCGGTGCCGGTGGTCCGGAAGAGCCGGAGGCTCTACGGCGGCACCCGGACGGTGGACTGCTGGTTCGCCCGCAACAACGCGGCCAAGCTGATCGACGGGCGGTACGAGGACTACGTGACGTCGCACATGTTCGACACGGCGGACCGGCCTCACGGGACCAACGCGGCGTGACGTCACCGGCCGTTTCACCCAGAGACACACGTCCACCCTACGAATATATTTTTGTATTATTTCTAACAACGTTTTTTCATTATATTATGTATTTTACAATACTGTTGCGATTGTAAATAAAAACACTTAAACGTAGATTTTGAGGTGTTTTTCTCTTTGTGAGGCTTGAAAGCGTTTCCTCAAATACGTGCCGACCCCGAGATCACACAACAAACCCCCTGGTCCCAAACACACACACACACACTGCGGTCAGCAGGTGGAGGTCACAGGGCTGCTGGCTCCGCCCACACAGGTGTGTCTCCCGCCCCCCCCCCGCTGAGGAATTCACCAGCAAACACCACGTTCATGTGTCAATCATCTTTATTCACAGATACATTCGGTTAGAAGCACCTGAAGGCCGAATGATGACGGCTGCGCTGTGCACTTTAATCCACATGTGAATAATTTGGTCCAATAATAAAAATAATACAAATAAATACACAACATACATTGGAATAAAAAACAAACCCTGCAGAAGAAATCCGTAGTTTTTAGCTGTGAACGGGAGAATCTAAACGTTTAGCAGTTTGGAGAGAACTCTCAAAAGTCACTAAAAGAAAACTCCTATTACAATGTAGATACCAAAATATATAGAGTCAAATACATATAAAATATATCAACGGAATAAATAGAAAAGAAGAAATGTGCCGTAAAGTTGAATACCGTCCCACACAGAATACCACTACGAGCATTAAGGATCATTTTTGGGATAAAATACGGGTGATTGAGAATAAAAGTCATAATATTCTGAGAGAAACGATGCAAGAATTTTGTGAAAATACATTTTTAAGCTCAAGGTTAAATTTGAGTGCTTTGTTTATTTTTTCTCATCCAACTATTGAAAGCAAAAAGAACAAAAATTACATTCAATTCAGGCGTCAAGTACTATTGGTCCATTCTTCACATTTTCACTCGGCCTACATTTTTTTCCTACATTTACAACGTTTGTCAGAAGTTCATTCTGAAACTCTCAGTGTTGTTTTGCAACAGCGTCCCGAGTACTTCATCATTTATTACAAACAGGAAATCATGCAGAAACATCAAGAAGCATGATCCTTTAAAACCACGAGTTAAATAAGGTACTTTGCTCACTCGCCCCTCTTTGGAATACGATACGCCTTAAATCACTCTGGAGCCTCATCACCCCCAAAAGACCCCATGGCGCCGGGAGGACATCGATTCCCCCGCACGCCGGTTCCGTTTGGGTCCCTCTGAGAGGACGAAGAGCGTTTAATGATTCGATTTACCGGCGTCGGTGCAGCAAAGGCTCGTGTTGTTCGTCTTCGGGCTCTCAGGCGGATGTTTACACCACCACCCAGCTGGGCCTCAGCGGCCCTCCGGAGTACTGCACAGGGGGGACCGGTCCCACGTCGCCGGGGTCCTCTTCCCCCTCGGAAGCCTCGTCCGTGTCCGTCTCCACGCTCAGCAGCACCTGAGAGGACCAACGAGCCGTGAGTCCCTTTATGTGGAATTCTGCTAACTTATCTCGTAAAGTGGAAAATATCGCTCAGGGATTCAGGTCCCACGGGGGGCAAAGTTCCAGGACCGCTGGACATCTGCGGCATGATGGACCACATGGGTCTGACGTGTGAAGAGCGCCGCAGACACCGGGACAAAGACAGAGACGCTGTCCCTCCATTAAAACCTTAAAGTCACACACAGCTGTGGCATTGTTACCGTAGATTTGACCCCCCCCCCCACCCCCCGAGACCTCGTCCAAGTCAACGCCTCCTCGGCGCTCCGCTTTCCATCACGCCACAGTGGAAACGAGTCCTAAATGCCACTTTTATTCCCGGGAAGAAGGCTTGATTTATTGGCTGCCTGGCAGATGCCCAGAGAGGGGGTGGGTGGGGGGGGGGGGTCTGTGACTAATGAAGAGATTCCCTTTCACAACAACAACAACAACAACGGGACTGTAAAATCCACTCAACCCAAAACTCCATCAGTGTCCTTTCAGACCAACAATAGACACGATTACGTGACTACAGAACTTAAAACATACAGACGTTTTTATGGGAGATTTTTATGCTAAAAGAACAAATCCCGGCGCGAGTCGTCTCCCCGAGGAGAGACATTCTTTTCATCCCTCACAGTTTACATTCGCAGTACAAACACACAATTAAAAAAGTCTTCATCGAACGCACAACAGCACAACAGCACCTGCTGCCGTCTCAGGGCCTCCAGACGTGATCCAAAAACTCATCTGTAATACAGAACAGCCCGACTTTGTTTATTGGACCGGGTTTGATTCTCACAAGATCAACTGTGTGTGTGTGTGTGTGTGTGTGTGTGTGTGTGTGTGTGTGTGTGTGTGTGTGTGTGTGTGTGTGCGCACGCTGTGCTCGTCCTCCCTGAACAGTGCAGTCGACACCCTGCGTGACCGCCAGCGCCCATTCTCACACACATTCGAGCCCTGAAGTCACATTCTTGTTTCTTCTGGAACTTTTTCAAAAAACACAAACGGAGATGATTCCGACTACGACGCAGATGATGACAGTCTCACCTGGGACTCCTCGCCGGTCGCCCACGGCAACGAGGAGTCGGCCTTCTCCGCCGAGCCGTCGCAGGAGTCGTCCGGGCTCTTGGACTTCCTCATCATCAGGCTGTCCACCACCCAGAACATGATGGACTGCGGGGGGGTGGGGGGGAGACGAGGTGGAGGTTAGAACACCTCGGAGGAATTGTTCTGACAAGAAAGCGGACGGGGAACCGACGGCGTCGTCACAAAAGGCACCAAAAATACCAAAAGACATTTTTGGATCATCAAAAAGTCTCCTCACGTTCACGATGAAGGGCACGATGAGCATGACGAGCACCAGCTCCACCTGCGGGTTGGCGATGTAGCTCAGCAGCACCTCCTGCAACTGGAAGAGGAGGGAAGCTTTGAGCTTTTATTCATTGATCAGCTTAATTCCCCCTTAAATGGAACACAAATCCAACCAGCAGGTCGAGAAGGAAAAACAGAATTAAATGTTATCGATCCTTTATATAGTGTTATATTAAATTTACTCTACTCTGGTCTATAACTGCAGATAACAAACTATAGAACGTAAGACTTGTTCAATTATATCCATTGACATGGATTTGTATTTAATGAATTTAGGTTTGTTTGATATTAAACAATCCCAACATTTATTTGTACGGTTTTATTGCAAACATATCAATGTTGTGATATAATTTACATTTACTGAAATGGGCCATAAGCATAAAAAGCAAACAGAAATAGGAAGAATAAAGTGCAGAAAGACGTGATTCTCCCATGCAGAACACGCATTACTGTTGCTATTAATAATACCAGTATTTATCATCAGTTTCAAAGAGCACAGAAACCAACATCTCCAAAGTCATCAGGTTCTTTGCACGACAAAACCCAAAATGGATGAATGAGAAAAACATTTCTACTCCTTAGAGGGGCATCTGTTTCCATGGCGAAGACTAGTTTGAATAAATAAATATGATCCCCAAAGCCCTGCAAACAAGCTGTCCTTTGAATCCACAAACGCCGCCTCCATGTTTCCATTAGAACCAAAAGCAAAGCGTTTTCCTCCCCCTGGTCCGTTCTCTCTCAGCAGAGGAATTAAAACGACAAACGCTAAATAGAAATGAGAAGATTGTTCAAATCTGCTGATTTCTTCACGGTCGCGTTAAACGAACGTTCCATCAGTTAAACGTTCACGTTGCGAGTGGTTCTTACTTTGGACCAGCCGGGGACGAGCAGCACCAGGCTGATGACGCTCTTCTCCAGCACCATGATGAGCAGGTAGACGGCGCACTGGCCTAGCCACGCCGCCGCCTGGGGGGGGTCACCTGCAGGGGGGGTGGGGGGCAAACGTCACGCGTGTCACATGTCAAGCTTGTGCAAGACTACAAGGTCGGACCAATGGATGCAACTGCAATAAAAAAACACTTTATCTGTAATATGGGGAATAATTTCTTATTTAAAGTATTTATTTTGACCAACCAGAACAGTCTTTAATTCAGTTTCATTGATTTTGAAAAAAATTTAATTTGATTCCACATGATTTTCATTTATTATTTTTACAACATAACACATTTTGTTGTAAGTTGTTGGCATAACAAACAATAGAAACCTCCACTAACTACTTTGCATTCTTGGTCGGGTTTGAGCCGAAGCATTTAAAAAAGACGAGTCAGACTGGTGTCTCAGCACAGCAGACACAAAGGAGGTAACGTCTGTCATTAGGACAGGAAGAAGGGAGGAGGAGGACAGAGACGGACGGAGAAGGACAAGTAGAAACCAGAGAGAGAGAAAGAAAGAAAGAAAGAAACCGCTGATCAAACATGATCATAAAAGAGCAGCGGACGTCCTTTGGACTGAAATGTTCCGTCACACAAAAAGAACAACGCGTGCAGGAATCCTCCTCCTCCTCCTCCTCCTCCTCCTCCTCCTTTTCTTCCCAGAGGCGCTTTGCAGCTGGAGGCGCTGGACCTCCTCCAGGTGGTCTCCAGCGCCCCCCGGTGGCCCAAACCACAGCTGCAGCTGGTGCGTCATTTTCAGTCAAATAAATACAGATAAACATCAACACAACCTCAGAAATAAACAAAGAAACGGAGAAAAGCACCGTTTGTTTTTTTCCCCCCCTCACCGTATTCTCCAAACATGAGCAGCGTCCACCGTTTGTCCTCCACCAGTTTGGACACCAGCTTCACCGCCAGCCAGATGACCAGCATCCCCAACGCCGCGTCCAGCAGGAAGTTCATCAGGTACCTAATTGGGGGGAGCAAAGAGAGCGACGCTCGTCGGTGAGATCCGGCCTTCGCGTGGCAGCGCGTGTGTGCGGATCAACGACTCACAGCGAGCACGGGTCCTCCGCGGTGAGCGTGGAGAGGAAGACGTTGGCGAGGTGGATGAAGAGCGCACCGATGGCCTGTTTGGACGTGTCGAAGAACCTGGACAGAGTCGCACGGGACACTTTATTCTATTGTGTTCTATCTGTTGAAACGTTTGGTTCGTCTGACGAATTCCGACACTTTGTTTACTTGGGACTCGTCTCCGCGAGAGGGTCAAAGGTTAAGATGGAGGGACGGGATGACGTACAGGGAGAGAAAAAGAAAAGGAAGGAACACGTCTGACCAGATCCTCCAGGGTCGCCTGATCCCGACGGGCTCCCGGAACCTCTTCACTGCCAACGAGAGAGAAAAAGAAAAGTCAATCGCCGTCGGAAGCGCGCGGCGCGTGGAGCCGTTTCTCCCCCGCCGCGCGCTTGACCTTCGCCGCGGGGGCCTCGTCGGGCCTCCGGGGGGGCGGAAGGAGAGCGAGGACGAACGAAAGACACAGACGCCCACGTGGCGTTTTTCTTTCTCGCAGGTCACAACACTGCGTTCCTCCTCTCGGGGTGAACGGACGCCGTCTGCTCCTCCGTCTCGCCATCTAGCGAGGTCACACAACGCGGCTCGGAATGTGAAAACAGGAGCGCGGATTCCTCCTTTTTTTTTAAATTAATGGTGCTTTTCTACGCTTCCCTTTCTGTATTTTGTTAAATTCTTGGAGCCATTAAAGAGACTTCAACTGGATTTTATTCAGGGCTGAAACCTCTGTCGTCCATTTCCAGGCAATTAATGGTTAGAAACACAAACTTCACCGATTCCAGCTTCCGAAAAAGTTAAGTTAAGCTTTTCCCAGATTTTATGTCATTGTATTAGTATTTTGTAGTTTTACAAACCAGTTACACAAAGACGCCCCTTCCCTTCTTTCCTTTTAATCAACAATCGATATATGAATCCTAATCGTGTTTGCAGCCAAACATCTATTCACAAATGACTTCTTTACTTTAGACATTTACATTTGCTCAGAAAATAGATCTAATAAAACTTGCTCCAGAAAAATGCTGATGTGTGCGTGAAAGAACACCGTGTGTCCTGGATGTTGAGCGCAGACTCGCCGCGCTTAATGCTCCGCTGGTCACCAATGATGTGGTGGAAATATTAACAGACGCATGTGCTTTGCATGCTGAGAACAGGACACGGGGGGGCAGTTAATAAGTAACTGCGTGGAGGTCAGGTCATTGATCTCATTACCTCCTCCAAGCCCCCCCACACCGCCTCGATTGTGCAACACCTGCACTGCTCTGAGGCTGATGAAAACCACCTTTTCTTATTTAAACTACAGTCAAATTGTGGCTAAAAAGTGGAGAAGGTAAATTGGTAAATAAGAGAAAGAAAGCAGCACACATACAAGTCACGGAGGTGAAATGTGCATCTTCAATCAATCACCTCAGAACAGAGACACCCGCTTGTGGAATAAAGTCAGCGAGGTTTGAAATGAAATCCAGGAAGTCACGAGTAAATCAACGAGTCCCTGAGGGCTCAAGTGTTCCCACTTGACTCAGTTTCCATCCCACCTTTCAGTCTGCGACAGCTGCACGAGTGCTGGACGTGGCCCCCGGGGGCCAAAAGTGGTTTAAGATGCCCAACATTCTCCGAGTCAGCTGCCGCTGAATCACAAGTTATTCGGCAGTCAATGGCCATTGTTCGGATTAAATCCACACCACGGCTGTGAAGGAGCATCTTGTTCTGCACTCAACATTCTGATGTATTCCACTTAAACGCTGTTTAGGGAGCGAACGTCACGACACGTCCTCTCAAAATAAGGTCCTTTAGATTCTGCTTCGTCTAAAAAGCACGCACACACGGCTGCTCGGCAGACCCTGTAATGTGTGGTTGGTTTGGGTCTTAAGGGCGAATTCGGCGTGTAGAAATGCCACAAACCGTGCGTGACTTTATGACAATAAACACAAAAACAATAGTCACTGCCGTGCGAGGCGTTTATTTTTGTGACCAGAACACTTCAATTAATGTATAAAATGTTTGTTCACAATCACGCCGAAGTTAATTGAGAACATTTATAAGTGAAGTTGCATTTGAACAAGTAATCAATGCGGGAACGTTTCTGCACGGAAAAGCAAGGCGATATTAAATAGGCACATTCTTCAATGGAGTCTGGTGGCAGAAGCCGCTAAACAAACCTCAACCAAAGCAGCAGCCTTTTACAAGCGGGCGTGTGACCCTTTGCGTGTCGTGCAAACACACACACACGCACGCACACAGACAGACACACACACACGGACTGTAACACACTTCAGGTACTCACACATCAGCGTGCTGAAGGCGACGATGGCCAGCAGACCCTGGATCAGCACGCCGAACCTGTCCGTCAGAGCTCCGTTATCGCAGCCGTGAGGAACCGCCGTGTGGACGTCGGACATGTTGGTGACTTCTGACACGAGTCTGTCGGCCAGCAGGACGCCGCTGTATCCGTACGTGTCCATGTCGACGCGATAAAATCAACAACAACAACAACAACAACAACACAGCTCTCCCCTCGGTGCGCTAAAACGGGCTTAACCGTTCTTTGCTCGGAGGAAAACAAAGCGGCAGAATTCTATTTCCGGCTCTCAACTCGCGGTTAAGTTCTCCTTCAGTGTTCCCAGAGAGGTCTCCTGAGAGGCTTTATTATCTCACTACCGTTATATTCCACGTTTGATGACATCGAAGAACACGGACTGTCAAGTGAGCCAGCAGTTAGCCCGGACCTGCTTCCGGTTTAAATATGTCAAAGTAAAGGTCACTTCCGTTTTCCCTGGAGTTTTGTCACGAAAACAAAGGGATGGATTTCAGACTGTGACACTGTGTTTCTTCTTAATGTGTCTTCGAAATGTTATATACAACAGACCTATGATTTTCTTTCAGGGCTAAACAAGTTTAGAGCTATGAGTTGATTTAATTACTTAAATAATTATACGTCATATACAGACTCAGTCAAAACAGTTATAAGCAGATAGCATATGATTATTGAACAATATTCTTGAACATAAGGCTGGCAAAAGGGCCTTCATGTTCTTCAAATGTTATCTTTCCTAAATATTTTGAACCCGCCTTGTTGTGTAAAATATTAACAGATACAGTCATCTTCAGGTCGTGCATCTGGTGTCTGTCTTTACGTCTGGGAAAAAAAGCAACAGAAAATTAAGAATCTGATACAGATTTATGTACATTATTTGATAAACGACCATACTTTAATTGCCTGTGTATTATGTTTCTCTGTCTTATTTTAATAGGCATATTATTTGATCTGATTTCTTTCATATCGTTCGGTTTTTCTAGTGTTTATGCTGTTTATCATCTCAATCACCCCCCTAAAACAAGCCACATATTCACATTCTTTTGTTCTTGACTACGTTCTTCACTTTATTTTATTTTGAAGTAAAGTTTCCTTCACTTCCTGTTGGTGTGCACGAGGATCTGTATCAATGTGTCAATGGAACTGGGTAATTTCTGCAAGATAGAGGATATATTTAAATTATTCTTCCTGCTTTATGAACTATATATATATATATATATATATATATATATATATATATATATATATATATATATATATATATATATATATTTTTTTTTTTTTTCATCAGTAACAAATAAACTGATTTGTCTGACAGGTCATTAAAATACAGTTGGCATAAAAAAGTTTTTACTATGATATTTTAAAATACATTCTTATGGAAGCGTGTTGTAAATGTGACTTAGAATACACATAACCATAAATGCGCAGAAGCAAATAACTACATGTATTCACATTATCATCTTTAAACTGGCATTGGAATATTCTTCAACCAACGGGGTCACAGTTTGACCCATTAAAACTTAACTTTAATCTCTTTATTTATAATACTTTTTAATACTGCTGTATATTGCCATTTATGCACAATTATAATCAGCATTATTCTGCCACATTTGCATCGATAAATGGCCTAATTGAATGGATGAGTTGACAAAGACTCATGCACAAATTACGCGGATTTGTGCGTTTGTGCGTGTGTGTGCGTGTGTGTGTGTGTGTGTGTGTGTGTGCGTGAGAGAGGAGGGGGGGGGGGTATAATCCTTTCTCGCGCGCTCATGGGAAAGCCTCTTCTCTGCTAGATTAATGGAGCAGGGCGCACGCTCCAACCATCTGTTCCTCCAGTGGCATCCCACCTCATCTGCAGGCTCCCTTTGTGTCTTCATAAATAACATCCGCAATGTGCAACAATGGACTTCCCGTTGCAGGTTTCAGAATAAAATCCATATCGCGCGATGTGGATTTCAACGTTTATTTTGAAGGATATTTCTAGGGTGCTCTCTCTCTCTCTCTCTTTGAACATCTTTGTCCGCTATAGTTCCTTGAAATCAAGCACATTTATTCGTCTGAAATATTTTAATTTGAATGTTGTTTTTTCAAGCTCAATTCTACATTTAAGAACAATAATGTAGTCGAAAATAAGTCGTCTAGCTGTGTCTTATCCTTTTATTAATCTGGTGACTGCGGTTATTTTATTAATAGTTATTTTTTACTTTTGGGTGGAGTTGATTGCTGCCTTTATCTAAACCATAATCATATACTTGTATATTTAGAATATTTTTTATCCTTATCTTTATTACCTTATCCATCTTCAAAAGCTGTTCACGGTTTTCCAAACACATATTGACTCCCAGTTATCCAGTATATGCACTACGTTTCACATTGTTCATTTCAGTTTCATGATCTCAAGATAGAAAGATAAGGGTGGGGGGGGATTTTGGTGACGTTTTTTTGGGGAATTTCCAGATACACAAATTGACACAAACTCAATGGACAATAAACCTTTGTCTTTTATTTTGTTACACGAGCTCTTTTCCAAATGTCAACATTTATGTTTTAGGAAGAACATGTTCATATTCAACTTTAGCCTTTAGAAAAAGCCCCAACAGACCTGGTGTTGCTTTGGCGGTAATCATGCAGGTTTCACTTTCTTTATAAGTAAGGAGATTCCTAGTCTCACTGGGGCCGACTGATGTTTATGGAAATACGGGGCGACCTTTGAACCCGAGGCAGGACTATTAAACGTGGTGCAATGCGCTCTTACCACTAGAGGATACTGTTCACCGAGATAAGACGTTACAATAACAACATATTTGGGTATTTCTCAAGAGCTGTTTGGAGAAAAGTGATTGCCAAAACCTCCCCAAAAGAAGAGAACAAAAGGACGTGTTCAGAAGGACAAATGGTTATAAACACATCATAAATGATTGACTTGTCGGTGTTTTTCTTGCACAGGAGCAGCTCCTGATGAGGAGACATTTGTATTGCTGCTGTTATCAGCTTTGTGTTATAAATTTGTTACGACCTCTATGGTGTTTTGGTGATTACAATAGTTTTTTTCTTCTCCTGTTGATGATATGACTGCATTTGTTATTGGCTCAAATTAGCTAAAAACATACAAAATGTGGCAGATTAGATTAAATTTGAGCTACCAATAATGACTTATCTTACAAATGTTTATTTAAATGGCATCCGACATCCAACACACAAAAAACGTTAATTTGAGTATCAAGCGACTGGGCTTTTTTATTATAAGGAAACTAAAGAAAGATTTGCTGCTTGCTGCTTCGCTGGAAAAAAACGAAAATGAAGGTGTTGGCTTGAAAAATATCTGTAGATGTTTTTCTGCACATGCGCAGAAGGGAGATGCCATATTGAATCAGGAGCAGCAGCCGAAAGACGTCCCTCGCGCTGCTCTGCTCGAGACGGAGAGGCGACCCGAACCACTTGGACAGGTAAGACAGGTGACGGCCCGCGCGCCGGGCCGGAAGCGGCGGCGTTTTGTTTTCTGTCGACTGAAAAAAAAAAAAAAAACGCGCAGGGACTTCATGTCTCTCCTTTCTCTTTAGAGAATAAATACAAATAAACAAATACCGCCGAGGCTGCTTCTGTGGAAACGAGAGGATAGTCGCGAGCGGTCCGTTCGCGAGCCCAAGTTGCGGGAAGTGTCTTCTCTCGCGCGCTGTAATTAGCAGCCTTCAGCCGGTTTCGTGGCGCTGCTCGGGTCTTATTTCCTTGTGTGTGTGTGTTTTTTCCCCCCCCCCCCTCAAACTGTCGCTTATTTTAAAGGTCACGTGACAGTTGAAATGTAATTTTAAAGTGTTTCAATGTTGCGCTTGAAGCACATTTAGTTTGACGCGAGCGCTAAATTGTTTCCACAGTGACTTAACGCAGTCATTCACATATCGATGAGTCATTTGGGGATTGCCCCACCCCCCCCCCTACAGTCACCTCAAGGTGCGTGAAAGCCATCGGAAAATACCGGACTCTGCCAAAAAATGTCAAGGCACTTTCAACATGGCGGGCTATGGAGGAGAGGGGAGGAGGGGGGGGGCTGCGCCTTCAAAAATCTTTGAACGAGGAAAAAATAAAACGACGGCAGATAACGCGCCCGCTTCTGTTTCTTTTGATGGACAGGCACGAGGGGTAATTAATTAAATCCACAGCGCGCGGCCGGTGTTCTCGTGGGAGTTTTTTTCCGCTGCAGTTTTTTTTTTTTTTTTTTTTTTTAGTGTGCAAAGTACACGCGAGCGGAGCGGCAGCGTGCCGGTCGGTTACACCCGCCTCATCTTCCTCATGTGCACACGTTTCCTCTTTCACTTTTATCCCCCCCCAAAAAAAACACACAAAATATAACGTCATATCAGATTAATAACGTTTTTATTCCCAACAAAACCCGAACAACGGGAGGATTCTTGCGTAATCTCAGATTAAAATGATGACGATTGCTCAGTCGGACCGCATATTATTTTTCCAGACAGTTTATTGTGTCTCTTTCGGGCTGAATTCGTAACGATTAAGCAGATAATTGGGTGAGCCGGCAGCGCGCGGCTTATATCTGTTTAATTATTTCTCTTTTGCGGTCTGCAAATCCGGCTTTGCGTCATTCGCGGATTCTTTCGCCTCCAGATTAAATGCGTCCCCATAATGAGCAGAAACAATGAGGACCACGCGTTACGAATGAATAAATCAAGCTTTTACACTTCTTGTTGTTGCTCCAGTTATATATTTATTTATTTCCTCCACAGAGCAGTGCGAGGAGGAGGGAGGCGTGGAGGAAAAAAAAGGGGAATAAATGGAAATATAACACACATATATTTATATATATGTAGGATCCGCCGGGGTAGATCAATCAGGGTCCACCTGTATTTATAGTTATTGATGATTTGCATTCTTTGGCCTTTTTTTATTTTGTTTGATCATTTAGCTGCTTTTTGATGAAGACATCCGTGGTGAAGTTTCCTCTCAGACAGTTTGAATTAAAGAGACACGCAGCAAAGGGAGGACACTTTACAGGAAGTGATGAGGTGCATGAGGAGTGTCTCCTCTTTCTTCTTTTCTGTCTGTCTGTCTGTCTCCTCTTTCCTCTTTCCTTCTCTCCTTTCATCTTTTGGTCTGTGATTCTCTCAGCGAAACACTAAACCGTCTCCGAGCTGCAGCTTGTGTCGTCTTTTAAAGTGTTGAGCACACACTCACACCCGCGAGTGTTAAGAAGTTGTTTCAAGTCATGAAAGTTGAAATAAGAACGCTTTGGCCGAGGAAGCCCCCCCCCCCCCTCACACAACCCTCCCATCCTTTTCTTTTATTGCAGTCGCTGTGCACCATCACCTTATAACTGACCTCAGTGAGCATCACTGGCCGCTTTGTGTACACTTTAAAAAAAAGTGGAGGAATCAAGTGGAGGAAACAGGGAGCAAATTGCTGCATGAAGGCCTCCTGTTGCCAAGAGGAAACAACTGTTGGACGGGTCTAAAAGAGGAGAACCTAATAGGGAGTAAGCTCATGCAGTGGCAGTTAATCTCCTAAATCCTCCCCATTAAACCTTTGGCAGGGTTTAGGGAAAAGGCAGGAGGACAACATGTGGATGCCCGGCGACCCATCGGGGGCTAATCAATAAATAAAAAAAACCCTCTCAATCTGAGACCACGAGGGCAACAAATGTCCTGAGATTAACTCTCTCGGACCACTTTAATCCCCAATCTAGACTGTTCCCTCAGGGCCAGTAAGCTCCACCACGAACAAATGCCCCCCCCCCCAGGAAGCGTAGAGGAACAGATAGAGGAGCAAAGGTTCTGCCCGGACTTGAATCAGCTCGATAAGAGGAACGGTGGAGCGTGTGACCTTTTTCAAATTCCAAAAAGTTTCCTCAGATGACAAAGATGCGTTTTGGGGAAATGAGCAACTGCAGTGCGAAAGCATTTGGACAATGACAAACTTCCTGTGTTTCCTTCGCCTGTGAGCTCCGTCCAGCGCGTTGGGATTGAAACTGGAACAGCTTTCAGTTTGGAGGTTTCGAATCATCGCTTTCGTTATCACTGTAAGAAGCGTTCTTAACAAATATCGTGGTGCATGAAATGTCCTCAGGTAGAGAAAAAGGTTCCCGTCTTTAATTTGCTTTACTTCTGTAATAAACATTCCAGAAACTTCAATCTACAATGAATAAAACAGCCAGTTGTTTTCTTGATAAATAACTGATGGAACTGTAACAAAGAGGCGTCTTGTCACTCGCTCCTCACAAAGCTTTTGTGTTGAAACTTCAGATGCAGAATTTATTTGAAGCTTTCATGCAGTGAGGAGAAAAACAAACAGCCACGTAAGGGGAATTTTAAGGGGAAAAAACAACTGCTGTGAGGTATTTTTTTGACTATTTAAAACTATCAGAGCCGCTGTGAATCATCGTATTCATTATTGATTGATCCGTGGATGTTATCTATGATAAATAGATGGAAACGGGTCAGAAAACAGTTCGCATTTTTTCCCAGAGATCAAAGTGATGTCTTTTAATTTCTCTACCTCTGTAATAAACAGCCCGAAAACCCCAAAACACTGAATCTAAACATGAATTCCTGCTTGATGTAACTATAGAAACGAGTCATCCTGGGTTTTTAATCCGCCGCTCAGTCCTCGAATAGCTGCATTGAACGTTAGAAACATGCAGGTTTGTGATTTTTCTTTGTGATGCTGTGACGCGTTGTGGAGGAAAAAACACAAAAACAAAACAGCCACTTAAGGGGAATCTTAAGGGGCGAAGCAGCCGGCGTGAGATCCCCCTTAATGGGTTTTAATGAGCGCTGGAGAGGAATGCATGCTGACGACGGCGATGTGTCAATGCAGCTGAAGATTGTGGAGCTCTTGTTGGGCAAGACACACACTGATAGTTGGGGGGGGGGGCACCGAGTCATGTGAGGCAAAGTAGCTCAGCTTGTTGTTTACGCAATTTATGCTGCTTAAAACCACTGTGGGTCATCAGGGTGTGAGTGTGGGGGGGGGGTATCTGTAAATACACTCGGCTTAAACGGCAGCGTCGTCCACGTGGGTCTCGGTTTTGGACTTTCTCATCGGAGGATTTGGATGTTGGACATCTTATTTTCCTCCGTCTCGGGACGCCTGTGACCCGCTGAGGGTGTTTTCTGAGCGCCGGTGTGTTTTTGGGAGAGTTGTTCGAGTTGCTCGCTGGGGAAAGTGGGTGGAAGTTGGTGAGTGAGTCATCGGTGGGGTTTGACCACGTGACCTCGTGCAGGACGAACACCGGGCCACCGGCGCTGTTGTTGTGTGCAGAGGATCCTTCTCACGCGTTTTTGTGCAGATTATTCAGAAGTTAAGCCCCTCTGGATGATACACTTTTGTAATACACGTCATTTAACACCAAGACAAAACCTTGACTTTGTTAAGTATACAGAGTGATTAAGACTGTTATTTAAGCTTAAACCGAAATTAGATTAGTAAAAAGAGAGATTCGATGACGGTGGCATTTTATTGACTAAACGTTTGGTTAAATAATGTGCAGATTAATCGATTAATGAGAAGAATCGTTAGACCGCTACTTCAAGTCCAGCTTTAGTCGGGTGTTGTTTCTCTTCTCGGTCCGCTGTTGGATATAAAAAAATGCCATAGAACTACTTATAAGAGCTCTCGTGAGGGTTTCCAAACATGGGGGTGGGGGCCCCTAAAACGGGTCGTAAGATGCGGACGAAGTAAGGAATGAAGAAAAGACACAAATACACTGAATAGTAATATTCTATTAAATATTATTCTTCAGTCATTTAATGTGAGGTTCATGTCCTGTTCAGAGATTAAGAAACAAAGATAAATTACGCCAATAAAACTGTTTTCCGGATTATTTCACATGACAACCAATCAGGAATCAATAATGCAATCGTTACTGGAGTCGTAATCAATAACCTCTTGATGTACCAGTTCACACTGTGAAGGCCGTAGAATTCAATGTTTGCAGCCATTGTTGAGATTATAATCCTGTGACTTCATCACCAGCTCAGCCGCTGATTTAGTTGATTGATCAGATCTTATAATAAAAGTCAGTAAAGTCCAGTTATTTGTAAATAACATCATGTTTACAAACTTACCTAATTGATGCCTTAATTAGCATAACTAACGAGGTCATTAGTGAACCCGATTGTTCTTGATACATCACGGAGAACGCCCCCCCCCCCCCTTATTTACTCCCTTTATTCTCCACAACCAGGACGTCCAAGTCGCTGTTATCTGTCAGCTGATCATCTCTGATTGGTTCATCCAATGCAGTTTGTTTACATGCAAATCCAGCCGATAACCTGATCACAGCCCCTGAAGGTCGCTCTGCGGCTACACACCTGTTTCCTTTCATCTCGGTCTTGGGGTACGGGCTCCCGAGGTTTCTTCGGTTCCACCGCTTGTGTTCATTCTAAGTTTCTATTTTCTCAGAAACTAGATACTATACTAGAATATACCATATATACCCCAATACGTGGGTTGTTTACTTTAGCAATGTGCAACGCTTTTATTCACCTTCCTCAGGTGAATCTCTGTGCGACCGTGTGGGGAGTTTTTCCTCAAAATGTCGTGAATTGTTAGCGAACAATAGCAAATATTTGCTAAATCAGCAGCAGATTAATTGACTGCTTTCATCCTTTCCTTCTTTCTGTTTCTTGTCCTGCAGCTGCAGTCAGGGAAAGTCGGAGATGCAGTGAAGTGACGACACATCTGGGCTCAAAGCGTGACAGGAAGAGGAGGCGCAGGATGCAGGAGGAGGAGCAGCCGTCGGCCCCGACTGCAGTGATGTCACACTATCCGACCAATGGGAAAGAAGAAGAGGTGAACACAGGTGAGGAGCTTTGTCTTTACCCTGAATTGTATTAGACAAAAAAAAAGACAAAACACACATAAACACAAGTGAAGGTGAGCTTGACGGATTTTCCTGTGGTTATTTATGTTGTTATTTATGTGAATATCTGATACGGGGACATAAAGTCATGAAAATGAAGGAGAAGTTGAATATGAGATCAGTTTAAAAAAAAAACGTTTTTTACCAAATGTTTTCATTGCCGACGACTAACGGGTGATTTTGTCCGTTCAGACCCAGATTCCATGGAGGTCGAGGAGGCGGAGTTTAACTGGGAGGAGTTCATGGAGGAGACGGGGGCCAACGCCGCCCCTCACACCACCTTCAAACACGTGAGTGACTGCGTGTGATCTCCACCCGTCAGTGATCCCTTAAACACACCCTGGCAGATAAATACCACATGCAGAAATCCTTTAACGACACATCGGGGCCCTCGGCGTCACCGCCACCCATCGAGCGCTCTCATTGGCTCCGACCCCTCATGACGCACAAGTTGTGTGACGAGTTTTTTCCGTTTATTTTCAAACGTCACGGGCAATAAATGGGAAATATATATTAAAAAAAAAAAAAAATTGTGGCAGATGTTCATTTCAGAAAATGAAATGTTTATTTCACGTTTCTATGTATCCAAAGAGGTGAAGTCGTGTCCTACTGGAGGTCTGATCTTCATCTCACGATTCTCAGTCAGGAAACTACTTCTACAGAAATCGAATGACATCTTAAACTTTCACAAACGGTCAAATCTCATCTACGCGATCAGGGAAGCCTCTTAAAGCGCGTAAGCTCGTTGCCATCGGCAACGGGGCGACTCGTTGAACACATGTCAAACTCACCCGTTGTCTCTGAGGCGGAACAAAGAATCCGATAATCAGGGTTTCTTTCTCTCACGAAATGCTCTTGTTCTTCGTGAGAAGGTCAGCGAGCGGACAACACGACAAGGAGCTCAGTGAAGCCAGTTGAACATTTTCATAATGGACGGACTTAAATCTGACCGTTTTTGAGCTTCCACGAAGCTTTTGAGTCACTTCTACATCTACACCTCAGAGCTGGACCCCCGTGAGGCTCGCCCCGTTTGGGACGCGAAACCCTCCCACCACTCGGAGCGCCGGATGGTGACGAGGGCCGGATTGAGCGTTCCGACGGTTTTCTCTCTCTTTTAATGTTTAACGGGCGTTTTTTTGGGGGGCCGGGGGGGGGAAGCGCGACGTCTATCGGGAAACTAAATCGCCTCGTTGGTAAGTGGATCGAGTCACTGGGAAACAACATGAGTTCCACTGAAAAAAAGAGAATGTGATTCACTAAAGTGCAGCTCCCCCCCCCATCTCACCCCCCTCACCCCCCCTCTCTGTGCCTGGACAAATTGAAACAGTGATTTCTCTCGGGCCTGCACACACACACACACACACACACACACACACACACACGCGCGCTGCCCCTGGCTCTCTTACATAAGCCGCAGTGTTGCAGCAGGAAGTCACGGAGACGTTCTGTGTGGTGTTTATTTCTAAGACGTTGGCTTCTTTCTTTCTCTCCGCTTTATTCGCTCGGCTCGCGTTGAGCGTGAACATCCTGCCGGGCTTCTGGAGAAGCGCATCACGCCGCACACACCCACCCCTCCGCCTGCTTTCCTTTTTTTTTTTACTACAGTAGAGAATGATTCCTGCTCGGCCAAGCAGCTAAATTTGCAGGATGTTCTGTACTATTTATAATGATGTCATACTGTTTGACATGGGGGGGGGGGCTGCAGGGCTGATAACCCTCTGATATAAACCTCCAGAATACTGTGGTCCAAAACAAATACGGGTCAGTTTACAATTATGCAAAACAATCACTCATCTCAGGGATACTACGGGTGACTCCGCTTTCTGTTACACAAGCCCACAAAGAGGATGGATCCTAAGACACAGGAAATAAAAGCGAGAGATCCTGAATCCTACAATTCCCAAGATGCAGCTCAATGGCGTCTCTGTGTCCGGTCGTCCTGTAAGACAGGCGTTCATTTGTATCTGTGAGGACAAGTCGAGGCTGTTGCATCATCTGAGATATTTGCAAAGCTCCCCCACAGACATGGAACAACACTTCCACTGCTGTCGTTATGTTGTCCCACAAAATGACCTTTTATGTGCGAAACAGAGTTCTCTCTGAGACTGAACATGAACCCTTCATTTCACCCACACCGTCCTTTTTAGGTCCTAAAGGTTTTCCTCAATTGGCTTTTTACTTACTAGTTTGGGTTCTTTAGCAGGAGACGTTCTCTGTGTTTGTTTGTATGTTGAACTCTTAATAAATACAAACTGAGATTGCTAATTTCACCTGATTAGGAGAATATTGCATTTCATCAAGTTCTTTAACCAAAAAAGGTGATATTTCCACATAGATCATCACACCCTTTGACAAACAGACCCAACGTTAACTTATTAGCACATCTGTCCACAGACTTCCTCCCTGGTTCACCTTTGACCTCCAGTCCAGTCTGCAGTTACAGCAGATACGTTTTTTTTCTAACGATGTGTGTCTCTCAGGTGGAGGTGAGCCTGCAGAGCAGCTTCCAGCCGGGCATGAAGCTGGAGGTGGCCAATAAGAGCGGCCCGGACTCGTACTGGGTCGCCACCATCATCACCACCTGCGGCCAGCTGCTGCTGCTGCGCTACAGCGGCTACGGCGAGGACCGCAAGGCCGACTTCTGGTGCGACGTCATGACGGCCGAGCTGCACCCGGTGGGCTGGTGCACCCGGAACGGCAAGACCCTCATGCCCCCCGAAGGTAAAGGGGGCGGGACATCGGCACTGGTGTTAATTGAACGTTGCGGCTCGTTGGCGTCGAGCGGAATTAGAAAAGGGGCGACGACGATAGCGAGCGAGCTCCACCGGGTTGTCACGGTGATCTCGTTGTGTCGACCGAGGGCGAGCAGATTTATTCAATGCTCGTTACTTCGGCAGGGGATCATATCAGATGTCACTTTATTTATAGTGATAATCCAACAACACGCCACCGTACTGAGCATGTGCAATCAAAGAAGAGAAAGAACTCGTTAAAATTCGTTGTTTCACTTGTAAAAGCGAACTCGTTATCTTTAAAGTGTGAACAGGGACATGAGGTTTTTCTTTTTAATTAGTGTGTTTGGACAGTTTGAGGACTATTTGGCATTTGGGGCTCTATGAATAAAATTTCTATTTTATGCCTTTTTGAAGCACAGAACATTTCGTGCCACCAGAGGTTCGCCGTCACACTCGAGCCGTGTGCTCCGTGACCTTTAAGGCAGCGCGGTCAAATTTTGGAGTTGTAACTTCATTTGGCTTTGCAGCACATTTGTGTTTGTGACGACGTCTCCGTCCTGCATGTGAAGGAATCTGAAGCTTTGCCACCCGATGGCCGACGCAGCAGATCAAACCCTCTCGCGCAGACTAACATCCGATCTCCTCCCAGCTCTCAGAGAACTTTTCCCTTCGACCGTCATTCCTCCGACCTGTTTTCCTCAGCGGCCGAATCGATTCTCGCTGAGCGTCTTTAAAAACTCGAGCTCCACAAAAGCGTCGCGCTCAGCTCCTCCTCCTTCCCGCCGTCCGTCTTTCACTTTAATCCGACGCGTTTCCACAGCGCTCCTCAGATAGATGACTCGCTTTTTCAGACCATTTATTCTTGCGCCGCACCCCCCCCCGCCCCCCCGCTGGCTGATGGATGGCCGCGCCTCCGTTGTTGTGGAGACGACCTGGATTTGTTCCCACCCGACGCACCCTCACTTCATAAAAACGACCCGTGGATCATCTGTCGCGCCGGTAGAGCTCGTACTTTACTTTTAGATCGTATCGCTTTGTAGGCACGTTTCATCCATCTATTATTTTCTTAAACAGTCCTTAATAAAAATGTAAATGCATTAACTCCAACTAGACATCTTGTCTACACTTGTTTTTATTTGAAGACTGTTTAAACCAGCACATGTTCACATTAATGATCCAGAACCAGTGGATTTAAAAAGATCAACCAAATAACCCAAAAGTCTAAATGAGAGGCAACGTAGTGCTGGAAGTGTACGATCACATGATCTATCAGTTGAGAATATTTGTAACAGGTGCATGCTAGGCGATATTTAATGGTTTATTCAACTTATTATTCTCAATCCATATTTCTAGTGTTGGATCATAAATTCATTCCTAAACTGATTTACAGAAATAATTCAGTGACCTCTGAGCTTTATTAACCGTCTCTTCCTTCGTCGCTCAGAAAGCTCCTCTTTCCCCCTTTTTTCTTTTAATACTAATGATGCAAACTGCTGCATAGATCAATATAATAACCTATAGAGGCTTCTGCAGGATACCGGCAATTTGTGAAAAAGACAACGATCATCGCTTTGTTTAAAAGGCTTTGCATCATGTTGTGCACATTTCTGTTGCTTAGTCAGCTGCAATATGAGATAAACGTTCCTCCTGTGTCACTGTTTTTATTTGTTTCCCTTTTTGTTTCTCAGATAACATTTACCTAAGAAAAGGTAAGCAGCTCTAACGGTGCCTGTGACTAACCCGCTTTTCCCCGCTAGTGGCTAACATGAAATCAACACTGCGTAGGGCCGACAGAGCTGCATGTACACTGGGCTTCCTCCTCTTCCTCTTTTCACCTCTCTGCAGGAAGTGACCTCACACCTCAGTCGCCTTGCCTCCTCTTGCATGTGATTCCTTTCTAGCCGAGTGTGTCTTAGCAGGCTGATAGCGCGCGCACACACACACACACAGACTCACACATGCTGTTTGTGCCCGGGTGTGCTGGTGTGATAACTAGTCACTAGATGCAGCAGCTTAGCCACAAATGTGACGCCTCGATAAAGAGGCTTCCTCTCAGGAGCAACAAGCAAACCGTGTCCCGTATCGGTGGAGAAAAAAACGAGTCAAGTGAAGCAAAGGTCAGAGGCGTAACAACCGCCGTGTGTAAAATGTGCCGTTGATCAAATACGCATCACCGGCTGCTACTTTCTGCTGGTTTGATGTCAGCTTTGTAATTACACACTGGTACAGCTCTGATAACATCTACAACAACGTCGGCTGTCGGGGCGCGTTGTTGGGACACAACACAGTTTAACGTTCGCATTCCTTCTATGGACGAACGTGACTTTATGTAAGTCGATCGTACCTTCTACATTCAACACAGACCCCTATGCTTCAATACAGATCAACAGGAATAGACTCTATGCTTCAATACAGATCAACAGGAATAGACTCTATGCTTCAATACAGATCAACAGGAATAGACTCTATGCTTCAATACAGATCAACAGGGAATAGACTCTATGCTTCAATACAGATCAACAGGAATAGACCCTGTGCTTCAATACAGATCAACAGGAATAGACCCTGTGCTTCAATACAGATCAACAGGAATAGACCCTATGCTTCAATACAGATCAACAGGAATAGACTCTATGCTTCAATACAGATCAACAGGAATAGACCCTATGCTTCAATACAGATCAACAGGAATATACTCTATGCTTCAATACAGGCCAACAGGAATAGACTCTATGCTTCAATACAGATCAACAGGAATAGACTCTATGCTTCAATACAGATCAACAGGAATAGACTCTATGCTTCAATACAGATCAACAGGAATAGACTCTATGCTTCAATACAGATCAACAGGAATAGACCCTATGCTTCAATACAGATCAACAGGAATAGACTCTATGCTTCAATACAGATCAACAGGAATAGACTCTATGCTTCAATACAGATCAACAGGAATAGACCCTGTGCTTCAATACAGATCAACAGGAATAGACCCTATGCTTCAATACAGATCAACAGGAATAGACTCTATGCTTCAATACAGATCAACAGGAATAGACTCTATGCTTCAATACAGATCAACAGGAATAGACTCTATGCTTCAATACATGCCAACAGGAATAGACTCTATGCTTCAATACAGATCAACAGGAATAGACTCTATGCTTCAATACAGATCAACAGGAAAAGACTCTATGCTTCAATACATGCCAACAGGAATAGACTCTATGCTTCAATACAGATCAACAGGAATAGACTCTTTAGGGAGAGAAATGCTGCATGTCCCTGATAAATCCACTTAGATCTTTTGTAGTCAGATGGAGAAAGACAAATAAAAACGTTATACCTTTATATATACATGTGTAGCAGGAATACAAAGTGCCGTCGGTTCATAATTAAATAAAAACATTTTTTAAATTAGACATTTTTTAAATAAAACCAAGCTGTGAGAGCAGATTTCAAAAGAGGACTGTGATTTTCCCGCCATGACATCTAGCGTCTGATGCCCCCTCTTACGGTTCCTCCCAGGACTTTTCTTTGCACCATAAGGAGAGAAACCTGAAGACCAACGATCTTTCCAACTGGACGAACCGCATTAAACAAACACACCTTAATCCCTCGTCAAACTCGCTTACACACACACACACACACACACACACACACACACTCCTCTGCTGCTAACCGATGCGTTAACAAAGCTTTCTACATTCAGCAAATCGCCGCTCGTATTAATCAGCGACTCTGTTGCGTAATTTGCTTTACAAAGCAAATGTAAAAGCAGTTTGAATGACGTAGAAGAGGGTTTTCCCACCTCCTCTTCGATGACGTCATGGCGCAGCCGCAGATTACAGTCATTTTAAACGTGGTAGTTGGTGAAATAATGAACCTTTGTTTTTGGTTTTATTTAAGCTTCAAGGCTTATTTTTAAGTATTTTATACGTATGTGGAGCCTGTGGGTCGGCTTGTGGGCGCGCGTGGTGCGTCGGGCACGCGAGGACTTCCTCCGTCACGTCGGCTGCTTTCTAGAGCTTCATCACAGGCTGGTCATGTGGTCAGGTATCTGCTCGCCCTACAGATCTCGCCGGCGATCGTTTGCATAATGAATTCACCACACGGCTTCCTGCTGCAGAGGATGCTCGAGTGTGTGTGTGTGTGTGTGTTTTAAGGGTTAGGATGCCTTCAGGCTCACATGTGGGCAGTAGAGTACAAAGGGCTGCTTCAGCTCGGCTGTGACTGGATGTTAAAGGTGGATTCACTCATTTATTTAAGATTTATTCAATTCAAATCAATTCAACTTTCTTTAATTGACTTTAAAGTTACAGTTCTTCAAAGAGAAAATAACATGCACATTAAAATATTTCACATGTTGTAAAAGAATCAACCACACAAGCCAAAGAATAAAGATAATGGATTCTCTGTTAACTAAAGTCGTTATTAAATAAATATAAACCGTTCGGCACGTAAACGGACTCGTTCATCCTGAACAATGAAATCCTGCCGATCCCGTTTCTCAGCACACAGGAACTTAATTTAAACACGTTACAGGTGTTTGTACTTCCTCCACCACTGACTGCTGGAGCACTACTAGAGACAGTGAGGATCCCTTTATACGCGCGCGCACGCACACACACACACACACACACACACACACACACACACACACACACACACACAGCTCTGTTCCTGTGGGCCTCTTTAGCAGTAACCACAAACACACATCACTTCAGTCATTCTTTTCTACACGCTTCCTCATGAAGGCTGTAACATACGTCAACAACATGCCGTCTGAAACCACCCGGGTGTAACACACACACACACACACACACACACACACACACACACACACACACACACACACACTGGTGGTACTCAGAGGAGGCCGGCGGTTGGATGGAAGGAGATCATTTCGGCGTAATTTGATTGTTGGTGGAGTCAAATCGCTGTGATCGCCGCCAGAAGGAGAAGACGAGGATCTTGTTCTTTAACTGCGAGTTTGATTCGTGACGTCGCATCGAGCTCAGACGGCTTTTCACAGAAAGAGAAAAGAGCTGCAGCACAATATGCAAATCTCAGGTTTCATGTGTGTATTTTTGTTTACCTAATGCTCGACATTTGCATGAGGACTTCAGCCTGGGGGGGGGGGGGGGGGGGGGATTAACCGAACGGCATGGGGCCGGGGGGGGGGGGGCTCTCTCCCCTCAAGATTATTTAGAAAAGTCAAGCTCTCACCCTCTACGTGTCTGCTGCTTTGGAGAGAGAAATAAGAGAAAATAGATCATTATTCTCTACAAAAGGAAAGCAGTGTAATAAACCTGTGAGCAGGTGGAGGAAACGAGGGGGGAGGAAGAGAGAGAGAGAGAGAGAGAGAGAGAGAGAGAGAGAGAGGGAGGTGGACGTTTGCATGCTTTAGCTGCCTCCTCTGTTGGGCTGAGCTCTCTAAATGGCTTCATGAGTAATCTGGGCAGGATCTGTAAAAATAGTTTATCTATTTCTGCACACCAGAGATCAACACAAGACTGTGTGTGTGTGTGTGTGTGTGTGTGTGTGTGTGTGTTTGTGTGTGTGTGTGCGCGCTCTTACAAAGTCCAGCAGCAGCAAGGAGAGAAAATAGTCCCACAGGAAAAGCACCATTATCAAACGTTCAGCTTCACAGCTTTATTGTTTTGATCGAAAGCACGAGAGGATTCATTGATTTGACGTCGGGAGTCGATTCGTGTTTTATTTGCTCCCGTTGACCTCTGATGACACCTCGAATCACGACAGAGAGAGTTCCAGCCTTCTGCCGACAGGGGGAAGACCGACATCAACAACAGTTACTCAGAACTCAGAGTCCGGTTGAATAATTACAGCTTTACCGCTTTTAACACCACAGACTTTTGTCTCGGATGTCGATCATCGGGAGGAGCGTTGCGTCGCTGAAGGGGGTGGCTGCTGGGGGAGGAGGGGTGGGGGGGTCCCAGGGTGAGATCCTATCACGTAGCCGTGACAGCAACAGGTGTAACAGCGCGTCACGTGACCCGCCATGAATGTCACCCCCTGCAGACATTTCTGTCATATTTCAGTTTGTTCTCAGTAATTCACTTCTGGAGAAAGTTCCTCGGAATCGGAGAGTTACAAAAACTCGTTAAAAGAATCTCTAAAAATGATGAATACGAATCGTTAGAGATTGTTCTGTGACGCTTATTTAGTTTATGTGCATAACTAATACACATTAACTTAATGAGTTATTGAAGTTGTTATAATTTACTTGTGTTCACTTCTTTTTAAACATTTATATATTTATTTAAATCATAATTTTCTCTGATTTGTATTAAGAGAAAATCATTTTATTCATTCTTCTTGTTTCACTGTTTGAAATGAATTATTTCACCCAGGAAGCTTTTCGCACGAAAAAAGAAACTGTCCCAAAAGACCTTTTGTGACAAACAAAAGTCCTCAAAGACTCATTTCCTCTCTTGGCTCTTCCCCCTGCGACAAAAAGCTACAAACACAACAAAACTACTGCGACAAGCAGATTAAAAGCACAAAGTACAAACCAGCGTTATTATGATTATTCTTATTCTTATTAGAGCGCCTGTTTATTACTATTTATTACACTCGATGACGGTTGTGATGTTGATTCAGAGTTCGTGACGTCACCACACTGTCATCTTTCATCACAACGCGTCGTCTCAAACGCGCAGCTGTTAATCTCCACTTTAACATTTGTATTCAACATTAATAAAGCCGTGACGGATGCATTTCTTTGTTTTTACTACTAAAAACAAGACACTTATTCCTATTCTAGTCTTAATCAAAAAAGCCTCCCTGCCTTTTCAAATATTCACCATTGCAGCGGCGTTGTTTTGCATGCACTGACTCACTGTTCATTATTCACCTCCACACACTTTGCTCACGTTCCACTCGCAGCGTTTGTGTGTTTTTCTGCATCTTTTCTTTTTTTTCATTTTGCAGCCATCAAGGAGAAATACGGCGACTGGACAGAATTCCTCGTTCAGGACCTGACCGGCGCCAGGACGGCACCGGCCAACCTGCTGGAGGGGGTGAGTGGAAACTTCTCAGAATGTCAAATGTTTCAAAGAAAAGATCACCGACTGGTGCAGTTCAGACGAACCAGGAGAAACATCTAGCAGCTCTTCTCCTGTGCTTCTGCTTCAGACTCTGAGGGGTAAAAACACCGTGGACCTGATCGTGGGGGGCTCGGTTCTGGAGATGCGGGACCTCTCGGACCCGTTCCTTTACTGGCCGGTCCGGGTCGTGCAGAACGTGGGAGGGAGGCTCCGACTGCGCTACGCCGGCCTCACCGACGACCAGCGGGCTCAGGACACCTGGCTGTTCTACCTGGACGTCAGGCTCCGCCCCCTCGGCTGGGCTCGGGAGAACCGGCTCGCCCTGGAACCGCCCACAGGTGAGAGTCGGACGACCTGGATTTCCTCCGGGCTCATTTGCAGGGTTAATAACAAATGTAACGCGACTTTTTCATGATTCTCCACATTTAAATAAATTAAATCCAGCCACTATTTTGCAGATTCAATTTGAACCACATTTTTTTTTTTAAACACAGTAACAAAAATAATTGTGTTTAAAAAGATGCACAGAACAAATCACCGTCATGCAACTTAAGCTTTCTCTCCTCAGGGTTCAGGTCTCTGAAGACCCCCCCAGACTGGCAGCAGGCTCTGGAGGAGGCTCAAGTCCACGGAGAGAAGAACCCGCTGCCACTAGAGGTCTTCAAGGTGAGTGTGTGTGTGTGTGTGTGTGTGTGTGTGTGTGTGTGTGTGTCAGGCATCCTGCACGTCAAACTGGTTCAGATGACATTTGTTTTGCTGTTGATTTATGATTTGAAACTAGATAATGAAACATCCTCATTTCTGTTGTTTCCTGATCGTTTGTTTGACAAAATTGTGTATTCTTTTATTACCAATTAGTGGGAATAAAAAAATTGATTTAAACCTTTGTCTGTATTCACTGTCATTGGGAGCTTTCGTCTCCCTTTGCTGTTCGCTGTAGTCAAAGATTCCACGTTGAGCACTTAAGAGTTAATAAGTAATTAATTAAAGGAGAAACAATCAATGTGGTAGTGGAACAAATAGGACGAGAATAAAAGAAAAGAAAAGCGAATAATCGGTCATTACCTTTGCCCCCCCCCCCCCTCTTGGGGTGACACACATTGTCTCGCTTGCCGCGTGCGTCACACACGGGCGGAGCTCATTTGTCTCGCCTTTATTGTGTCAGGACCACGTGGACGTCAGCGAGCACGCCTTCCAGGCGGGGATGAAGCTGGAGATGGTTTCTGCGTGGGCGGAGCTACAGATCTGCCCCGTTTCTGTCACCAAGGTGAGGGAAACACATTGTTAACGTGTTTAACCCGCTCGTGCACACTTCTGCTCCTCGCTGATGAATATTATTGTTTCTGCCGGTTGTGACTCCGTGACACACTTCTTTCTTCCTGAATAAAACTGCTGTGTTCAATAGTTCAAAGATGCAAAATTCATTACAGCCAACTAATGTTTGGAGAGATCACGAAGGGATTTTAATGTTAATGTTAATGTCCCTGTTTTCCAAAAAATGGTTTTAAAAAACACTTTTTTTTAAAAATTGTGTAATTTGAAATTTCCTATTTGTGTTTTTACAAAAAGGAAATTCAAACATATATTAAGCTAATTTTCTGTTTTTCTGAAGGATATTGACACTATTCATACATACATTAATTAACATTAGCATTAAAATGCACTTTTATATTATTTTTTGCTCCACACCAGACTTGAAAACGCCTGAAAGTTATTTCACTTCTACAGATTAAAAGAAAACGGTCTAAATGATTTCCCAAGATGCACTTCAACAGCATCCGTTTTGTCTCCAAACACGTGGCCCTTTAACAATAAAAAATGCGAATACAATTAGAGCATTTCTCCCCTCTGCAGGTCTACAGCAGGTTCTTCTTCCAGGTGACGCTGGACGACCTCTCCGCCGGCGCCGCTCCGCGCTCCGTGGTGTGTCACGCCGGCTCGCCGGGCATCCTGCCCGTCCAGTGGAGCCTGAAGAACGGCGTGGGGCTGGAGCGGCCCCGGGGCTACGGGGGCCACGACTTCGACTGGGCCGACTACCTGAAGCAGGGCGGGTCGCTGGCCGCCCCCGACGCCTGCTTCCCCGACGTAAGTCCGGACGCCGCGATTCTAAACGGCATGATTTGGTTTCCATCTACGGCGGGAATAAAAAGGCCGTTGTGCGTCCTTGTGTGAAGTGTGAGCCGTGGCTCCTCCTTTTTTCGGAAAAGAAGCTGCTGGTGTTTTCTCTCCTCACGGGGGACGACCGACCGGTCGGTTTGACAAATGTCGCGTCAGCTCCCCCGCCTTCCTTAAACAGCCCAACATACCGGTTTATCAATTTCTGGGACGCTCCGGCGATCAGATACGGGGGAATTCACCCAAACACAAGAAGGAAGCCAAACAGGCAGATCAGATAACACATTAGTGAATTCATGCTGGCGCCAGCTGATCAAACAAAAAATCCCACAATGTCAACGGAACGGACAAAGCTCGTCGTGTGCTGCATGTGGAAGAAGGGAGAGCGCCCCAAGTCTGTGATTTAAAGTCAAGTGCATATTTAAAGTGGAGAGAACGCGTGGAATCGTCTCTCTCTTCATGTCTCATGCTAAAGGTCGACCAACTCCAACAGAACATCTGGTATGTTGCACTAAACAAAAACAAATTATTTCCATTGTCCAACACCAACACGAGTGAGATGTGACCCCAGTGGTGCAAAGCTGCATTCTCCCTTCTCGCCATCGGGGGGCGACTCCTCTGGTCCTGTACAAGTGAAGCATGATGTTCATTTAGTAAGTTATGGTCCATAAAGCAGGGGGATGCTTTAGGGTGATTGACAGGTCTCCTCTTCCGTCAAAATACGTTCACTGATTTCAAGAACCGACATGGCGGCGACTAAAACATCAAACTACAGCCACAAGAAGGCCAGAAATCACGACTATTGCAAACGTCTGAGTCCAGGTTTAGTTTACAATTAATATTATACATTAATGTAAAGTAAACGTCCCCTCTCTCGTCCTTTGTGTGTGTGTGTGTGTGTGTGTGTTCAGACATGGCAGAACAGGGACTTTGCCAAGGACATGTGGCTGGAGGCGGTGAACCCTCACCGGCCCGCCGAGGTGTGTGTGGCCCAGATCACACAGGTCAGAGGACGCCTGCTGTGGCTGCGACTGGAAGGTACAGACGTGTGTGTGTGTGTGTGTGTGTGTGTGTGTGTGTGTGTGTGTTTGCAGGATTACGGGTCGGAGGATTAAGTGTCAGAGGACTCCCGCTGCGCACTCAGTGAGACGGCGTGTTTGCATGTGACAGCTCCCTCACCCCTCTTCCACCCCCCCCCCCCGTCTCCCCCGGACTACAGGTGTGGCGAAACCGCAGTCCGAGTGCATCGTGGACGTCGAGTCCACGGACATCTTCCCTGTCGGCTGGTGCGAGGCTAACGCTTACCCTTTGACCCCTCCACTCAAACCCGTCTGTACGTTCACACACACACACACACACACACACACACACACGTATCTGAGTCGGGGCGGCCGCCTAACGCAGACTCTCGTCTTCTTCAGGCCAGAAGCAGAAGAAGATCGCGGTGGTCCAGCCAGAGAAACAGTAAGAAAACCCTTTTACGGATCATCACGACGTGTTTGTACTGGATGATTCATTGTCCCCTGAGGTTACAGCCATGAGTCATATTATCGTCATCTTAAGACCATAATAATGTCAGTGATAAAATAAGGTAATGCACACAACTACGTTAAAATAGTCAGCAGCAGCTTAAACGTTGGTGACTTTCTTATGAGTTTAGCACGAATGATTAATCACTAATCATAAGAAGAAAACGTTAAAAATGAAAGGGTGCGCCCACGTATTAATAGCAAACATGTTTATTATGAACTATGAGCTTAAAATGAACAAATGGAGTATTACTAGCAGCTCCGTTGTCTTCCTGACCAACTGCTCCTCAACGTGTTTTCAAGTGGTAAATTACAGCTGAATGTAAAATAGAAACATTAGCCTGCGTCCATCAAGGCTTCAGTGCGGCAGAAAGAATCATTTCACACGTTTGTGTTTCCATCTTTCCACCTGTGAGCCAAAATAACAGAAAAACAGAGCCCGGGTTCTTCAGCAGAACCCTCGAGGTTTTTCTACACAACAACTTGATCCACACGCGGCTTCAGAGCGCAAACGACTTTCCTCCGGCGCTGATTGATTTGTTGACAAGTGACGAGAGAGAGAGAGAGAGATTCCATTCCTCACCCCCAGGGGAATCCTCTCATCAGTGACCCCCCCCTCACCCCCCCACCCTGTGGTATCCGTGGTGACCGCGGCGGTTTGATTGCCTCTGATCTGATTGGACGGCTCACTTCTTGGTCTGACGCTATTGATTGGCTCCTCCCCACAGGTTGGCTCCGTTCCAGCCGGCGGAGACGACTCCCGTCACCCTCTGCCCGCCCGCCGCCGCGCCCGTCGCCATGGATACAGGTAATCAACCCCCCCCCGGGGATTAGTGTTGATGAGAGAGAAGGGGAGGCCCCCTCAGACACACTCGGGGAACTCGTATTTAGTTTGTTGTGTGGACTTGAAACATTGTTGTCGGTTTAAATGGCGGCTTGAGGCCTTTAATCCAGACGTGAAGGGAAACGTTTAATTGGGCAAAAGGGAGCCGGGTTTCTATCAACGTGTTTTTTTGATCCCTGGCGAGCTTTCATCTACGATGGATGTGAAATGTATTTTATTTAATTAGATAGTGTTTCCCTATTTCATAATGCGACGCTGCTAAATGAGGCGGTGGGGCCGACGTTTAATTTGCTCACATCCCATAAATAAAACACTGTGAGCACTGAGGTTTTAACCATAAACACCACCTTAAAAAAAGACCACGAAGCACACGGGGCTTTTTGCACCTCAATGCAGAAGTCCCGATGTGGGTAATGAAGTGAAACATTTATTACCCCCCCCCCCCCTCTCTCTCTGAGCTGTTTTAAAAGCAGGAAGCCATTCGATCCAAACCCGTCACTCTTACACAAATGTTTTAATGTTCAACCCACGAAGAATTCCAGGGTGATTTGAGTGTTGAGAATGAGGAGGAAAGGAAAGGAGACGAGAGGAAGGAAACAGGGACGTGAAAGGGAATAAAGGGAAGGTTGTGGGAAAGAGTTTAAATGTGTCCACTATGACAGTGAAAAGCCTCCCGCCGACACAATAATGATAACGTGTTATTAAAGTGGACCAAAGTGAAAAAGGAAAGAAAGCTTCACTCCTCCAACAAGACGCAGCTTGTGGCTCCAGATTAAACGTTGTTCATTGAAGCGTTTCCTCTTCTTTCTCTCACTAAACAATGTACTGCAGGAATGTACACAAATGCAGATTTATTTCCTTACTGAAAGACGCAGAGAGGAAGCGCTGGTTTGATGCCTCAGAGGGCGGAAACGTCTTTCTGTATTTGACCTTTTATCAGCTGGAACCAGCGACCCGCCCCAACAAACAAACAAAGGGGAGCTATTTAAATAAACACAATAGCTTCCGTTTATCTGGAATGTGGACATTTTTACCCATAAACCTCAGCGTTTATGGGTAAAAATCACAGTCGTCAGTGCCTGAAATCAGCGGAGTAAAGAAGGACGAAAAGCCAAGAACAGTTCAGGAACCCTGAAGGACGGTGGGAGTCACCGGAGTTCTGCATGTAAACAACGTGTCCAAACACACGACCTTTGGCCTCTTTTCTTCATTCTCCTCTTCTCCGAGTGCGCTGCTTAAAAACCGCCCACTCGCCATGAATATTCATCCCCTCACCTGATTACTATTCTCCCCCAGCGGGGCCTCTGCAGGTGCTGCCGGTGGTCGGGGGGCCGAAGGGGGGGGCGGAGGGCGGATTCTTTCCATCGACCCTCTTTGTCTGTGGGGGGGGGGGGGGGGGGGGGGGCGGGGGTACGACACTCAAACTGATCCAGAAGAACAAAGCCTGCAGTGTTTAAGACCTCAGTCACCGTTTCCTGGGATCAAACAAGTTTATTCCTCATTTACTAAATAGTTTGGAACGTGTCACATGAGAGATTTGCACTTTAGTTCTTTTCCTCTTCTGGCGGGTTTGAGGTGGCTGACGTAACCCCCCCACGCACAAAAACCAATGTGCACCAACATGATGAGAAAGAATAATCATGCTTTTACTAATAAAAGTTTGTAGGATACTGTGGTGCATCATATCAAGCTCTCTCCCTCTCTCTCTCTCCCTCTCCCTCCCTCCCCCGCTCTCTCCCCCTCTCTCTCTCAGGCTCGGCCAACGGGAGGTACTGCTGCTCCAAGATCTACGTCAACCACCGCTGCTTCTCGGGGCCGTACCTCAACAAGGGGCGCATCGCCGAGCTGCCGCAGGCCGTCGGCCCCGGGAAGTGCACGCTGGTCCTCAAGGAGGTGGGATGATGCCGGGTGGAGGAGGGAGGGGTGGAAGGGGGGAGATGGGGGGGAGATGGGACAGAGATGTCTTGTTAGCCACCTGCAGTTTCCGAGCAGCGAGCTTGATTTTGACTCGAGGAGCCGTCAGTCAAGTGTGTTTACCGAACACGCGGCTCAGCAGAAACCGCCTCCTAACTTACCCAGAGACTGTGTGTGTGTGTGTGTGTGTGTGTGTGTGTTGTGTTTGTTTACACATGCCAGAGTTTTGTCAGGACGAAGGTGAGCCGTGTTTGTGTCGGTTTTCCTTTTTTCTTCTTTAAATGTGCGCTTGTTGCCCGCAGCTGCTGAGCATGCTGATCAACGCCGCCTACAAGCCTGGACGGGTCCTGAAGGAGCTGCAGGAGGTGGAGGATCAGAGCTGGGACTGCCAAGAGGAGACCCTCAAAGCCAAGTGAGAGGAGAGGAACTACCAGAGAACGATCATTCCATTCCACGGTTTCTGTACAGCCCAAAATCGCAGTTCCATTTTCCAATCACATCACGGAGATGTTCCTCAATGTGCTTCAGCTTATTGGATGAAAGGAATGAAACGTCTCTCTCACTACGCGCCGTCCTCATGCATAAAAGTCTAACCCCCCCCCCCCCTCCCCACAGATATAAAGGGAAAACGTATCGCTCCACCATCCGGATCGTCCGCCTCGCCGAGCAGATCCCCGACTTCTGCCGCAAGGTGTGCGTGAAGCTGCAGTGCTGCATGAACCTCTTTGGCCCCGCCCTCGTGGCCGACAAGTGCCCCGAGAATTGCGCCGTTCAGACCAAGACCAAATACAGTGAGTCCCTGGAGGGAGAGGGAGGGGGGGCGGCGGGGGTCGCATCACTTCCTGCGAGGATTCGTATCCATTTGTTTCCTGCGTTGCAGCCTACTACTACGGGAAGAAGAGGAAGCTGTCCAAGCCGGCGGGCGGCGAGGAGGAGGCGGCGGCGGAGGGAGAGCCGGCCAAGCCGGCGCGCCGCAGGAAGAAGAGGAAGGCCATCTTCGTGCTGAAGAAGAGGCGCTCGTCCACGGTGGACTACGCGCCCGCCGGCTCGCCGCAGGTCAGAGGACACGCCTCCTTCGCTCTAAGCGGGGTTCGCTCAGAGGGGACAGACGTGTCCTCGCTGGTCAGACTGGTTTCTAACCGTCATTGTTTATGAGCAGAGAAATAATCTGCAGCTATTTAGAGCGATAGTTTGGGTTTTCAAAACCAGAACACGATGTGGAAATGTGGAGACTTTCATATTTACGGGCTGGGAAAAATGTATGCCTGGCATTTCTGTCTGGAAAATACATTTTAAATTGAATCATTTCAGTTCCAGAGCTTAGACAGTTTCAGTTTACTGCCTGAAATGGCTAATAAATTCATATTAAATCCGGACCACTCAGAACACGTGAATCCTCCGACTGATCTCAGCTGTGTGTGCGCGCCGCTCAAATGCTTCCCCCTGGTTGAGTGTTTCATCAACACATTTAGGCAGAAGGTTGTTGAGACGTTGTTCATCGGGGAAAGAAACGGTTGGCAGCATTAAACCCAGAGTGTGTCTTCTGATGCCAAACTGCAACACTTTGATATTTAATGAATAGTCTCATCTAGTTTATACAAACTGTGGAGCTGAAATAAAGGATACATTTAAATCTGACAAAGTAGCGTGAGAATAACACGAGGAAGATGAAAGAGTTTCTGTAGCGGCGTTTTGAGGCTCTGAGCCTTTCCGCCCCCCCCTCAGGACAGCGAGGAGGACGAGGACATACAGTCGGGCAGCGAGGGCACCAGCTCGGAGCCCCGCGAGGACCACACCGACGCCTCCTCGGTGGAGGCGACCAGCAGCCGCCCCCGCCGGGCCGCCGCGCTACGCAGGAGCTTGGGCGCCGCGGGGGGGCGGGACGCCGGCGAAGCGCGCAGGAGGTCGACCCGCTCGCTGTCGGCCTGCAGCCACAACAACAAGTATCAGCCGCCCAAAAGACCGGACGCACAGGTGCAGACCGACGCATAATAAGAGTAACGGCTCACAAACACGGATCAATGGCGTGGACTCACAGCGTGTGTGTGTGTGTGTGTGACAGGTGGAGGAAGAGGAGGGTCAGCTGGTGCTGGACAGCAATCCTCTGGAGTGGAGCGTAGACGAAGTCGTTCAGTTTATCAACTCTACTGACTGTGCGGCGCTCGCCAACATCTTCCAGGAGCAGGTACACACACACACACACACACACGCACACACACACACTAACCAGCTGAGCCAATATTTGTACTTAATTACATTATCAGAATATGGCTCATTGTAAAACATTAACATTTGTTTATGAATTATTCAATTTGCTTTTAATTATAATTTATTTTATGTGTGCTTTATTATTTGTTTTAAGATTTTATGACCAGACGCATTTGTTGGCATAAAGAGAACAATGTGGCAAAAGCCACACTTGAGGTCAGAGGTTGTTGTCTTTAAATAATCATATTAAAGTGTGCTGACGTGTCCCCCCCCCGTGCAGGACATGGACGGCCAGGCCATGCTGCTGCTCACGCTGCCCACCGTGCAGGAGTGCATGGACCTGAAGCTCGGCCCCGCCATCAAGCTGTGCCACCAGATAGAGCGCGTCAAGGTGGCCTTCTACAAGCAGTACGCCAACTGAGCCCCTCCCCCGGTGAGGGAGGGGTCTCCGGGATGTTTCGGGAGTTTTCACGCGCGCGATGAGAAGAAACAGGATGTTTCGGTTCGCGCTGGAGGAGCAAACGAAGTTCCAGCAGCAGGGCGGCCCTCCTGCGCCAGATGTTGAAGGATTAACCTCTGGGAGAATGAACGCGTGACGCAGGACTCGGGCAGAAGGAAACACGGATCTGTGTGCTTTGTTTTTTAATGACGAGGAAAAGCTGAGGACTCGGTTCTGAAGACATTTGGGTTTCTTTTCATTTCCATTTCATTTGTGATTGAGGAGCGTTGTCGCGTCGATGAGCTTTCCCCTCTTTTTGTGTGACATTATTGGTTCTGGAAAAGTATATTTGAAGGTATTTAACAAACCAAGGAGTAATATATTTGAAATATTTATTGTAATCCTTATAAATGAGCAGTCATCTGTCCATTTGGATCCAGAGAAAATAATTGATCAGTTGAATAATACTGTTAATGTTTCTGCTGAAACAAACCCCGAAATGATATTTCAAAAACAGGATGTGCGACTATTAAGATTCAGAAACACGGCGTCACTCACTTCTCACATGACAAACAATCATCGGAGCTACTTCGTGTCCATCTATGCAAACGTTGCAGATATTTTTGATAAAATAAATTTCTATTGATTTTTCATACATTTTGGTGCGACTCGTCTTTCACAACTGTTACCGAGACCTGAGTAAATTCCCTCCGACCGTCTTCATTTCTGACTGATGGAGTGCGACTACTGTAGTTACAGTATGTAGCACGGCCGCATAGCGTTGGAGCTGACTGCTACCGGGAGCAGGGCCCCTTAAACGAGAGGTTTTCTCAAGGGACGCTGGTTCTCTGAAGCACTACTGCTTCTGTCCACAGGGGGCGCCAGAATCGACACAACTTGAAAGTCACTCGTGGTAACTTTAAGAAAATAGGTACAAGACAGAAATCTGTGCTTTTAGAGTGTTTAAACCAAGGAGGTGATTCTCCACCAAGGTGGAATAATCTGTTAAAAGTAACGGACGTTTAAGGATAATGGAGACATTTGAAAGTAATGGATGTGGATGTTTACTTGAGTTCCTCTCAGGGAAACATCTGGTCATTACTGCCTACTCATAAATAATAAAAAACATGCTGCTTTATGAGACATAAACAAATAACTATATGAATATAAATCATGATGATTTTTAAATGTACTTCTTGACTTATCTTGTGGTATTAAAATAAACAGACGGCCGTGATAGACACTAATGTATTCCACTAAAACCTGTCTGAACAACAGCTGCATTTATCTCCTCGCCTTGAAATTAAAAACATCTTTCACTCAAAGTGCACGGATGCGAGCGCTCAACAATCTGCCGTCAAGTTAAGAACCATAATTCAAAAGCGGGCATATTTAGATTTATCTGCGTTTATTTAAGCTTTTACTGGACGTTTGTGCAGAAACACCCTGAAACAAACAGAATTATGCAACAAAGAGAACTGAATGATGAAAAAGAGGTTACACATCATTCCAACACAGCAAAAATCGGTCTTCACCAAACTATATTTGACCGAATAATCCGGCCTCTTCTTACTGTCTCAGTTATTCCTGCAAACTCTTTTTGGATTATTTCCTAAACTACTAGTTTAAACTAAAAGAAAATCACTCTTTGGTTGTTTTTTGTTTTGTGCAGCTATTTGTTATTAATGCTGATACGATATAAAGAAAAATTCTTTCTTCATCTTTATTTCAAGAAATGTGTGTATATAAATCTATTTTTCCATTTAACAAAAGAAATACAAAGTTCTCCAAAGTTCAATTTTGTCTCAACAAAATAGTCTACAATAGCCTTAATATTATATATGCGTATATACATAGACAGAAACATGCACATATTCATGCACACGCCCAAATGTGCAGAGAAGAACACAGAAGGACGACGGAGTTTATCAAACAAAGTGGGACGGGAGGGAATAAAAACACCAGTCAGCAGCGACGTGGGAACTCTATTAGCGAGTAGATGGAGCCATTAGGAGGTGTTTTACGAGCAGAGACCCCCCCTCCTCCACGATGACGGCTGTTTCATGTCGCTACATAATTGGCGGTAACGCTGCGTTGGTCATGCATGTCGCACACGACCCCATTCGTTGATTCATTTGCACCGTTCTGTGTACATGGAGGCGCTGAGACGCTCCACCAGCTCTCTGGGACGGGTGGAGCTCCATTTAATAGCCCTCTCTTCCTCTCACACACACACACACACGCACACACACACACACACAACTCTTGACACTTTCTACTGAGTCAGTCTGAAAATCTGATGGCTCACACTGTTGCCTGGCAACCTCATATGCCAGCGTCCGCTCTGCGTGGTCTGTTTGTTGTTGTTGGTGTTTGTTGTTGTCGGTGGGCTCGGGAGGAGGAGCAGACGGACGCCGGTGATGTGAAGGGGAAGCCCCGAGCGCCTCGGCTCGGCGCCCGGCGCCTCCGGGCCTCCCGTCGGGAGAGGCGGTTGTCAGCTCGGCGGTCACATGACCTCGGCTCGGCGAACACAAGGTCGCAGGCGAGGTCGCAATCTGCGTCTCTAACGCCAAATAGAACAGCAACAAGGCTGAAGGGATACAAATAAAAGAGAGAACCAGAGGAAAAGAAGCGCTTCATTCGTCACTAATCCCTCATTTTAGATTCATCGCAAACAGCAAACCAGTAAATCAGGAAGCAGAATGTCACGGTTGCCCAGGAAAGACTGAGAACGCCGCGACCAGAATGCATGACATATGTATGACACAGCGACCTGGAAAAGTACTTGAATGCACCCCTCCCTCCCTCCCTCCCTCCCCCCTGCACACGCTGAGCCCACGGCCCAGTGGAACAGTTTGTTCCACTGCTAATAAGGGAAGTGATTCCACGCTTCACATACAGCTAATTTGCACCTTCAACCTGGTTCTTCTGTGGCTCCGGTTGACCACGTGGCTTCAGTATCTGGACGGCTCTGCTGAGAGGAAAAATAAAACGAAAGGGTGGGAGGCACGAGTTCAAGAAGGGGGAGTGCACTAGGACGAGTGAGGGGGAGGGAGGGAGAGAGACGGAGTCAGATGTACTGAATTGTTATTATTGAAGTTAAAGTATCAGTATGGGAGCCTCTGAGCACCTTTGTTTTAATCTATTATATTACTAACTTATATAGTTATAGTGTAACCAGCGGCCTCTTCATCTAAGTGTGGATGAATAGATGAATCTCCACCGTAATGTTTACCACACGGCGGAGAGCCAATGAGCAGCGCTCTCAAACCACGCGCCGGAAACCTTAACGTAAAGTGACTCACGCCGAAGCTTTAAGAGGCTGATGAAGGCCGATGAAGACTGACGAAGACTGACGAAGACTGACGAAGACTGACGAAGGCCGATGAAGGCCGATGAAGGTGGGCGAGCTCACAGTGGCCCGACGGGCTCAACATGTGTCACGCTAAACACTCATTGCCGTTATTACTAAGGAATGCTGATAAAGGTGCAACAAGAAATGCAAAACTTGACAGAACCGCGAGTTACTGAGACGATAAGGCACTTTGTGTCGTTTCGGGAACGTGAGGAATAGAGACGGATAAAGTGATTCTCATGTAGCTCAGAAAAGACGCACAATGCAGAGAGGACTCAGGAATCATTTTCACTGTCAATTCATGTAACCCAAATTATGATTTCAATGCATCGCCACATCAATCAGGATGTTAAATGTGTGTGTGTGTGTATCTGGGAAGGCGAGGTGTATGGTTAACCGTAGACTGAGCGCTCTGTCTCTTCCACACACACACACACACACCAAACCAACCAATCACTTGCATCGCACTGCAGGCTTGGAATCTAGGTCACGGTAACACACACACACACGCACACACACACACACACACAGACAGAGAATCAGATGTGATGAAGACGAGACGACAGAACAACTCGAGACAGTTGGTTGAATCCTTGAGGCAGAATCTCAGATTTCGTCATTGTTTCTCGCGACTTCATTTCCCTTTCGTTTTTTTTTCACGCCGCGTCGCGCGACGTTCTTTTCCGTGGACTCTGTGACGCGATGCCGGCCGTGTTTCCAGGTCAACAAGTGGCGTTTAGTTTCCTCTCGGTGCTTGAAACACGTCGGGTGTTTCAGCTGAACCCGCCGACATGTGCTCGGCAGAAGTGATCGCCATGGAAACAGAATTCTTCTGTTGCATCTTGCAGCGAATGCAAATATAGAACAACTGCGCAAACAGGGGACACAATAAGTTGAACCGCACACGCACAATATAGATGGTTTGTAACGCGCTCGTTCGGGGGCCCCCTGGTGGCTCCTAGAAGAAGAAGCTACTGATTCACCAGCATTCTGTTTAAATAGTTAATATGTCAGCTTGAACCGTTTGAACAATGTGTGTGAAACGAACATCTTTCTACAATTACTCCTGTTGATGGACACTGACATTTATTAGGAGTTTTAAAACTTTAAGCAAAATGTGACAAAGTGTAAAATGGATGTTGGTGAAACGTTTCAACATCATTGAATCACCACTGAGGTGAATGTGTAGAATAATTATGAATCAAAGACAAAGCTTGTGTTATATTTTCAGGTGGGAGACAGTAAAGGTGACTTTACACACATCGTGGAGTTTAAGAGGGGGAGCAGGGGGGGGGGGGACTATTGATTAATGTTTAGCGGCATGGTTATCTGCAGCATCCCACCTCTGTTTATACGACGGAGCACTTTCCTCTCCATTGTTCATTATTCATCTGGACGGCCTGTGGACGCCCCTCCCAAACCGGCTCCAGCTCCAGAGAACATCTCCCCTCCCTTCATCGCTCTTGTTCAAAAGGTAAAATGCCTTCGTTGATGTTATCAGTCAGGGGAATTTGTTGGATGGGTAATAATAAATGGGGTGTAATTCCCTCTTTGGAGGGGGGGGGGGGCCCCACCGGGGGGGTGGGGGAGGGAAATTTGTTTCCGATGGGGGCCCAAACCGGCCGGGGGGGGGGGGGGGGGGGGTGGAAGTATAATTAGGAGTTGGCTGAGCAATCTGCCCTCAAAGACACACACAATGTAGGAAATACAGAAAATGGATCAATGCAACTACCTTTAGGAACAAAAGTAATATCTAATAAATGAGCCTGTGTGTCTGTAGAGAACAGATTCAATGTTCCGTGTGAAGTAAAGATGTTCTTAGATCCACTTGACAGCTTCCTACAGAAACCTGGAAGAGGATTTATTTTAATGTAGATTGTAACGACACGAGCTGCGTTTTAAGGACCCTTCTCCATCACTGCGGAGCGGCAGGAGAGGAAGTTGCCGTGGAAACGGCCACGACGTGCAGAGACGCCGGCTCATCACGACCAATAAGTTTGTGAAAGCGATGAACGGGATGAAAGACATCTGTTGTAGATGTGCTGGAGATCAATCAGATCGATCAGCTCTCTCCAGGAACTACACGGAGACACAGTATCTTCTGTAAACGACGAAGGAGCTGGAGGTCATGATGCCTCTCACAGCCGATCAGTTTGCTTCTCAGTCCACAAAAATGTCTTCGTTAGTCACTTTTAAGCTGTTTGGTGCCGAATAACTTCAGAGCACATTTTGGTTAGAAGCTTTTAAGTGATGCTTTTGATTCTTTCTAAACTGATTCACTTCAACCAATCGATTGATTG